ATAATTAATATTTAATTTATTACAGATTGTTAAGGGTTTTAAGTATTTAACTACAATTTCTTCAACTATAGTCATTCTCATTTACAAGTAGAGGCAAAATTTTTACTTTCAATACTTTTATGATACGAATTAAAAATAATTTTTGTTTGGAGGAAAAATAAAACACTTTTTACTTTGAAATTTATTTAGAAAAGTAAATTGAGGCATTGATGGAGATGAGACAGATAATGAGATAATTTGAAATAATAATTTATTGATTTATTGTTAACAGAGAAAACACGTATTATGTGCAGTGCGTTAAAAAAAGTAAAAAAATTTTAAAATTTCTTTAACTAATGATCGTATCATGACGTATGAAGATCTTAATGTTTCAATGGGATAAATTTAAATTTGCTAATTATTCGAAAAGAATATAATTTAATTCACGGACGGACTGAATAAATGTATAAGATTTTTGACTAATATAATATGGATAGGATACATGATCCTCAAAATATGATGTCAGCTGAAATGAAAATACAAATCCATTAATCTTGAACGTGATCGAAAGTTTGACCCTCTTAATGTTCCATATTTTGCAATAATTCTCAAACTATTCAAGCTAATTAAAAAAAAAATTTACATAAATGAGGGGGGGGGGAAGACAAAAACTTCGTTTCGCCGAAAATAATTGCAGGTAAAAATATTTTTTTAAATTCCTCTTTTATTTTTTATAATTAAATTTTGTAATCGGAAAATCACATTAATTTAAACTGCGTAATTTTAGACAATAAAATTCAAAATTTTTGAATGGAATCACCTGATTAGTTTATCAGAAATGAAAATTTAACAATGTTTTTTTAAAAATTTTCTGACGCAAGAATTATTCGGTGATTTCGCTCAAAGATTTTTTTTTGTCATTTAAAAATAAATAGTTTAAAATGCACGAGAGAAAAATACGTTAAAAATTGAAACCATTAAAACAATGAAAGCATTTTAGACGATTTTTAGATGAAATAATAAAAAGTAATGAAAAATAATAAATTATTTTAAAACATATATTTTGCCTGAAATTATATTCGGAAAATTGAATTTTATTATCAATACGCTGGCAATGGAATTTTATTGTTAATAATGCAGACAATTTTTAATTAACTCTAAGCGACATGGTGAAATGCACCAAAAAAGTGAATAAACATGTAAAGGTTCAAACATTCGAAATCTCCGATGACGAAACTATTAGAACCATTTTTTTTCAAATTGCAATCAGCACTCATATTTTATAGGTCAAGAATCTAAATCTGCCGAAAAAAATGCATGTTTATTCAGAGAAAGTACGTTTTTTGCGTCTGATTTGATAATTTAAAATATCGTCTCCTCTAATTAATTAGCATTTTTAAAGTTACCCCTTGAACCATTAATTATTAATTATTTATGGTAAGGCACTCAAACCATTCAATCTTTGCACGTGTAAATTCGATCATTAAATCAAAAGCTATTCAGAGTAATCCGTTTTTTATTTTACACACGAATAAAATGACTACTGACGAACTCTGTTACTGATATATCATTCATCATTTGTTTTAGCACTAAAACAAAAGATTGAACATGATTATTTGAACTAAAATCTCATTTAAAATAGAAATTATTTTTAAAAAATGCAATTAAAATTTTAAAATTTTCGTATACCGTTCAATTGCAGCTTATTTAGAATCCAGCCAGTAAATTCTGTGACATATATTCCTTCAAACGTCCCCTAGAATATAATAATCATATGAACATTCAACTAACACTTTTATGCTGATATAACAAGCAACCAAAGAAAACCTTAACTATTAAAATTAAGAAGTTTAGATGATTCGTTTCATGTATACACTATTTTATAATAATGGAAGAAAGTTTCTAATATTTTTTTTTAAATTTCTCAATAAATACTTAGTGGACTACTTTGTAATTTCAGAAATGTTTAGTTCATGCGTTTTATTATACTTGGCAATAAACTTTAAAGCTTTCAAGAGTTCGAGAGACCAACATTAAATTACGAAAGAAAGCAAGTATTTTTGAACACACTGTGCACACAAAATCAAGCCATAATCTTTTAGCTTGTGTCGATTACTTTGGTAGCTATTTGCAGTGACTGCATGAAATTTCGTTAATCTAGCTTAAATGTTTTTGCAGATATGAACATTTTTACAAATAACAATTTTTTGTCATTTGTTTCTTTTTGCTGTAACTTTAAAAATAGTTAGAAAAATTAAACAAAACTTTCTAGCAATTGAAAATAAATTACAAAATTATTGCTTTAAAATTTGGAAAAGAAAAATGCTTTAAAAATGAGCAAACATACTGCGCATGCGTGAAAAAAATTCCAAAAATATTTTTTTTACAATTTTGTAGTGAATCGTATCTGGCAACTAATGGAAAAATCTGATTTAAGTATCTTAAAAATGTACGAAGTGTCAAGCAATTTTCTAAGTAGTTTTTGTACTTTCTTAAAAATAAGCTCAAAATAATCAGGGTTTTTCACAAATTACGCTACCTTATAATGACTGAACAGCAAGAACAAAATTAAATATGTGGAAAACAATTTATTGTTTTGAACTATCTTTCGAAAAGTACAAAAACTACTTAGAAAATTGCTTAAAACTTTTTACGTTTTTAGGATAATTAAATAAAAAAATTTCAATTAGCTGTCAAACACGATTCACAATAAAATTATGAAAACATTATTTTAATTTTTTTTGCGCATGGACAGCACAAAAGAACTACTTTAAATACTCATATCTTGCGCATTTTTTAACAATTTCTTTCAAATTTTAAATCAATAATTTTACAATTTGTTTTAAATTGCTCCAAAAATTTTGTTGCATTTTACTGAATATTTTTAAAGTTATAGCAAAAAAAAAAAATAAAAAAAAAACGTGAGAAAAAAATTTGTTTTTTATAAAAATGTTCATATCTCCATAAATATTTAAGCTAAATTTACGAAATTTTATGCAATTTTATGCAAATAACAACCAAAGCAATCGATACAAGCTATAAGCTTATTGCTTGCTAAGCTTATTGCATAGGGTGTTAAAAAATACTGTTTTCTTTTGCAATTTATTGTTAATTCCAAAACCCCTTGAAATCCTTAAACAAAGCATGAAAAATCGATGAACCAAATACGTCTAAAATAAATAAGAAGTCCTCTAAGTATTTTTTGAGAAATACAAAAAAATACCAAAGACCAAAAGTTTCTCTTCCATTATTGTAGAGTAGTGTATATATTTAAAGTCTTATCAAAAAATGAAATTTAAAAAAAAGATTCACTTTGGGATCATAGAATTTAATCAAGGAAAATAGAAAAATTGTATCTAAATTTGTCGGATCGCAAATGTGGACGGTGGTACTGAGAACGTCAAAACCTGTTTGTTTGCCATTCGAATTAACGAGGAGTTTAAAGTCGATGATTAGAAACTCCTCCAAGTTCCCTCGGGTAAACAAAATGGCTTTGATGTTTGTTTTGTCTTCATTTGGTCTTCCTCATTAATGAATCGACATATTTTATTTGTGGTTTTGTTTCATTTTGCTTCATAACACTTGGAATGTTTGTTTAAAGGAATTTTTAAAATAAATATATATTAGGATTCAAAAACTATTAAAATGAGAGTTGCAAAGTAATAACTTAAATTTATGGGATATCTACGGAGTTCACTATGATAGAAAGACAGATTAAATACCAGGGTATTTCTGATCGAGAGAAATATAATCAAATAACGATTTAAATATAAATAAATATCACTTTATTTACAAAATAAAACTAAACGGAGCTCTTAACAAATGAAGAAACTATTTGAAAATAAATCTGAATATAATTATATGAAAATATAAATAAAAATTAATGATTTTTTTAAAACTTTTTTGTGATCGACTTCCACAGTGATTCGTTAAATTCGGATAACGTTGTTTTTACTATTTTTTTTTTTCAAATTTTACATGTACGACCATTGTGCTTTGTTTCACTTCATTTCTCACAAATATTCTAAAAATATCTCATACAATGTAAGGCAAAATTCGAAAATTGAAAATTAAGGTGGTGAAACGTTTAACATGTTGTCAAGAAAAGAAAGTATAATAAGTTAGTTAACTTACCTTTAGCTCACTGATTCGAACCAAAGAAGCGTTGGTAAGTTTTGTCAGCCTTATATATAATTTTTCCAAAACGTTTTCATACGAGTAGCTATTTTTAATAAGAGGGGGACCTGAAAAATTTTTGTACTCTTGTATAAATGTGCAGTACTGAGAATCGCTAAGAGCATAGATGATTTGAAAAATGAATTAAAGTAAAACTTAAAGAAATAGAAGCATTTGGTTTGTTGTCGCTTAGGAAGCCAGGGAGTTGATTCTCACCAAATAGCCAACCAGGTGGTCGGGTGGTTAGCGTGCCTGACTGCGAAGCCAATGGCTGCGGGTTCGAATCCCACGCTGGGCATGGGTATTTCTCTCTCTCTCTGTTGTCTTCTGATGTGTGAATGTATGAATGTGGCCCACCCTATGAACGGGTTTTTGTGGCAGTGTGGCGTGGATAATGTTGCTCGCCTCCGTGACTTTGGTTCGCACGTGCCCACTGGGTAACGATAAATGAGCAACACTTCCGGCATCTTCTAAGGTGAAGAACGAAAGTTTAGTGCCAGCCGTTATTCTTTTAAAAAAAAAAAATTCTTACCAAATTTAAAAGTCAATGAGTTCGTTAACAGACGGCGCAGTCTAACGAGAAAAATATAGAAAAAAAGTCTGAGAACTTTTTACAGCAAATGCGCGACAAAGTCTCTAATTAGTAATAAAATAATTTGAATAATTACAGTAAACGAGGATTATAATACATATTGGCTACAAATTATAAAAACCCATTTTTAATAGCAAAATAGTTAGTGGAATTCCTGATAAAACTAACTATGTAACTTAAAAGTAAATCAAAAATGTATTTCACAAATTTATTATTCTATGAATTTGGTGGGGCATGAAATATTTTATTTTACCTTTCACTTTCAAACGGAATCCCTTCTTTTGATCGGCATTGAAGCAAGAAGCTACATCGAATGCCTCCCATTCTTTCGGTCCGGTTCTGAAATTGCTGAATGATAAATATTCAGTAGCGGAAAGCTGCAATGAGAAGCATGTATGTAATTTCAGTTTATATATATTTACCAAAAATTAAAGTGGGGTTAAAAATTATCCAATTAATAACATGTTTTGGTTTATACAAATTTTAAAATATTTGGTTGCTCTTAAAAGCATGTTTTTGTTCTTTTATGGTTTCGACAACAAACAAAACAACCATGCATTAAATTTATTAGAAAGCTATATAACAAAGTACACGAGTAACAACAATTATAGAGAAGTTATATATGTAAAAAAATGAAGATTTTATGCAGGAAAATATATTAACAAAGAAACTACATTTAGTGAAATCTTACAATTTTTTTTTTCATTAAACTATTTTTAAGTCTATAACAATAATCTGAAGAGTTTGTGCGTCTATCAATATATGTCTCTTATAACCCCAGAATAGTTTGTTCTGTCGTCCTCAAATTTAGACAGCTGCTGCGAAGGCCATTTTCGCTGTAGATCCTAAAATCCGTTATTTTCTAATAGATGGTTTGGGAAAGACATAAAGAAAAAAGAAATTTCTTGCTTGGTTTAGCATTAACAGTTATTTTAAATCAAAAAAATAAATGGTTCTATTTAATTTTAAAAATATTTTAAACATCTTTGATGTATGCTGATTTATAGCTGTCTTGATTTAAAAAAAAGTTTATTGTACGTCCTTTAATAATTAATTATTCATCATTCGTTATATTAGATAAACTAAATGATAAATGTAAACGCTGTAGCATGTGCGTATTAAGTCACAAAATTAGTATTTCTTAATTTATCTGAAATTACTAATTCATTTCGTTTACAGTTGTGCTTTTAAAACGTGTTTCAATCGAGCCAAATAATTTAAAATCTATGCTATTGTAATGAAAACAAATAAGTTATGGTCTAAAAAGAAAGAAATATTAATGAAGAAAGGGTATTAGCTCGCCTAATGAAAGTATAACACCGCCATAGTATGATAGACACCAATGATGCTTCATTAATTTTAATATTATATAAACGAATTAAAAAAATAATCTATGAACTGAAAAGCGAAATTTGTGGAGAAATAGTTGTAGTTCATTTAGGAGAAAAGTAAATAATCGCCATACTATTATCGACGCTAATAATGCTTAATTAAAATTTTTAATAAGGACTATTGGTGTTTTGGTAATGGTATTTAGTTGTGAAGTTTTTGTATGTAGCAAATAAATATAGATACAATGTGATATATCAGTGACTTTAGACCTAATAGTCATGATCATTGACAATAGTGATGATCATTGGGGGAAAAGATATCTTTTTATGGTTCCTCGAAAGAGATAAGGACCTATGAAAATTTCCTGATAGTCGTAAATTTTGACTGTCATGAGTTGACTTGAATCATCATCATCATGCCAAATGATATGACACACCGTTAATCTGTATTTTGATTGGATGAACTATTAAAAAAATGCTTTGCTCAAACGAATAGCCTGAAGCCGTGGGAAAAGGCAACAAATAGTAAACAAATAAAATTGAAATTATTTTAACTCTGTTGTATGTTTTTCAGTTTTTTGTAGGAATTAATGTTACTTAGTACTATTCGTGACATATTTTTTTTCGGGATCAAAACTTCGCTATCAAATCCTCTCTGGACAAAACTTCGTCGGTCCATAACTTATCGAGTACAAAACTTCGCCGATTTATAACTTTGTGGGTACTAAACTTTGCTGATTTAAAACTTCACCAATTTATTTATTTATTTCTCTTAGAGGGGGAGTGAGGTTACTTTTCAGTGATTTTCTATAATTTATTATACACTCTAATGAACAAATTAATTTTTACCAAGTGTTATAAGGATAGAAAAATTGGCAATATATTTAAAATATTCTGGAAGGAATCAAAGAATTTCCCTTAGTATCTTAGTAACTGAGATTTTTGAAATTTAAAGGTTTAATAAAGTAAATTATTATTTTATATTTATATTAGATATTTTTTCAAAAAATTTCTTCAATCTCACTTTGAATCTTATACTAAGCTCCATATTGAGTCTGTGTTTGCTTTTAAGTAAATTAATTTGCTATAAATGTAGTTTTTACCTCGTCTTTTCCAGTTTCACTATTTGTTTGATACGTGTATTTATCAACATGTGAGATCCTTAAATATTTCTTTTCAGCTTTCTGACCTTCCGGAATGTGCTGCAAAAAAAATATGTTTAAGGAATGAAATAGTTTTGCGTAAATAGAAATGAAAAATCTTCACACAATATAAAGAATGGAATGGAATTCATACCAAATAGGTATGAATTCGGAATAGAAAAGAAAGTGAATTTTATTGAAATGCATTAAAGCTGAATTAAAAAAACTAAACAGATTAATTTTTATACATATTATTGTATAAATTTTCTTCTCTACGGATATAAAAAACACAAGAAACATTAATTTTATCTCTTAGAAATTCAGAGCTTTTCGGTAACTGTTTTGGAACTGTTTAATATCAAAGCGTTTTTAAATGGTATCAATTGCTAGCCATCACGCAGAAAACAATTTACTCTGACTAGTGTAAGGTAGACACAGGCGAAATTACACCAAAAAATTATAAAATGTTTTTTTATTTACCACGCTTACGGCATATTTTACATGACATATTTCTCAACATGACAATTTCAGTCCCTCTTAGGATATTCTCAGTATTCAGGATTTGACACTATAATCTTATCCATCACGCAAATTAATAATCGAATTTCCATCGCTTATTATAAGAATTTTATTCCAATTTTTTTGCTTATTAAGTTAATGGATTTCAAAAATATTTCATATTTGCCACCAAAATGACCTATATTAATAATAAAAAAAACGTTTTAAAAAAGTTTATTTTTAATTAAATTTTTTTTTTTACTTTTTCAACAGTAGCAATTTTTAAAACCTCTTAAAATTAAAAAAAAATTTCTAAAAAATTATAAAACATTTCTGAAGACATTTTGTGGTGCATTATGAAATAATCAAGAAATTTAAGTACAGAAATATTTATATTTCACTGGAGTTTTATAAAAATATTTAAGAAAAAATATTTTATGAAATATATAAGTAGTATATACCTCAGAGGAAAAGAAAGCGAGTACAGCATTAATTCAATGATTAATTACTTTAAATAGACAAAATACTCCTTATTTTTAAACAAGCATTTTATTTTATATCCGTTGTTGAACAGCCAGCCCAATTTTTTGGGTTTACTACTACTAAGGTTCAAACATCTCTATGTCCTTGCAATTTTGAACACGATCCAGAAGGCAAGGGGACTCTTGGGTCAAGTATTGGGAGAAATTTGCCTTCGTGGAAGACTTTTTGATGGTACTAATCTGCATTTGCGTGACATAGTATAGAAAACTACGAAAACCTCCCACGGTTAGCCTGACGACAAGAGGATTTTAACTCATGATCAATCTACCACTGAGTATATTTTACATCAGCACTATGGTCAGTACGGATGTGGAATTTACTTCGAACAGCCATCGCTGGGTTTCGAACCTGGTTCACCTCATTGAACAGCCTCGCTCTATCCTCTGAGCTCCAATCAAGTATTTAGTCTATATATCAGATGACTGCAAAAATTCTGGACCCGATTTCAATTGCATTTCTTTTTTTGTTATGCATGCTGAGTACCATCAACAAATATTGTCAAGAAATAAGTGTGAAGATTATTTATTTGGGACATTTTCTGCAAATATGAACGTTATCAATGTTGGGGCATTCTCATTTGAATTCCGATTTAAGTTGAAATCTAAGAAAATACTGAAATTTTGAAATTTAAACAACGTAAATGAACTAAATGTTGAAATCCAACCAAAACATCCACAATTTGATCAATCCAAAACACACTTTTTTTATGTAACACTCAATGGAAGCCTCAATGGAGGCTTTAAAATTCAAAAGATTAACACGTTTTTTTTCAAAGCTCTTTCGCCATGGGAAATAAAACAGCCACAGTTCTGATGCTTTACACTTGAAGCAAAGCTATAATTTTAAACTGCATATGCCATCTTGCTGTAAGGAATTATTTGAGACTTAGAACAGACACACAACTAAAATATTATGAAAGTTATAAGCGCTTTTTTAAAATCTCAAATTTGGTGATAGTGATATTTTCCCATCTACATGAAAATTATCAAAGTCAATAATTTATTCCGATTTTTTGAAAATTTTAATGAGCCCAGTAGATAATGCAGCATTAGAGTAAGTTTCTAAAGTTAAAAAATTAGACAACAAACGCTTTTCGTTTTCCCCAAACTGCGGCTTTTCTTCACATTTACGTTTTGCGCCATTTTGAGAATAAACATAGAGGGCGCTGGCTACAGATAGGCTAAACTTGATCTAACGGTCATGTGTAACTGTTGCAATTTCATATCAGTTAGGAAAATAAGCATATATTTTGCAAAAGAACCATTATTTCATGCGACTACAGAACTTATGAAAAACATCCTTAAGAGAAGAAATTCACCGTAATCACAAAAAGGGAAGACAAGTGCATAAATAATCGATAAGTTATGGTGACTTCCGGGCAGTGGCATACGAAAAATCAAAATCAAAAATAATAAAATAGATAAAATAATGTCTAAATTCCAAGGGTTAAACTCGTGTTCACCACCGGGCAAGTCAATATTTTTCATTAACTTATTCTAAAAATATCCAATTTATTTAGCTTTCATTCGGAGATGTCGCTTTGATCATTTCAGTTTGGAACTATCAAGTTCCGATGCGTAAATAATCATCACTTAATCTTAACTATTCAGGTGTTCATATCCTCCGTTCATGCATTCAAAATAATTCGACTTAAGCAATTATGATTCTGTGGAAGAAAAGAAAACGTACCTTATAGATCTNTTAAAAAAAAATATGATTTTCTTTCACGGTCATATTTTTGATCTGAGTGAATACTTAGTAATAGATTCGGATCATTTATTAAAATGTCGTGAAATATTTCACATGAATTGTTCAAATTATATTTTACACTTAAAATAGAGTTTTAAAGTTTTAATGCTCTACTGCGGTTTTTCAGTTGTCCATATTTTATTGATACTAGAAATAACACGCTCTGTTGCTACATTTGTTCCTGGAAGGGAGAACTCGAATTCTACAATTTTCAAAATATTTTGATAAGGAATATTATTCTGTTTAAAATGAAGGAATAACTCGGTCCTTTTTTGTCTGTTTCCACATTTGCAGATAACCGACATTTAATTTTTCGACCGACATTTCATATGTTCAAATTATTCTTTTATAAAATAGTACTTACTGAATCAAAAATTATTTGTGAAGTTTCACTCAGCAATGAAACAAAATCTAATATTCTATATTTAATTCCTGTTTCTGGATCAAAAAATCTAACAATTGTGGGAAATAATTTTAAATCTTTGTGGCTGGAAGTATCAGAATTCATGGATATAAATGCGCATTTTTCTAATTCTTTCTGCAATCGTGAAAACGAATATGGTGAAAAAATATTACAAATAATTGCTACGGTTTTTGTCCTTGCACATGCATATTTTTTGTCGTATAATGTTTTGATCATTTGCGACGTAGAATTCATTAATCTGAAACTTTGATTTCGAGATCAAGGTTTATGGTGTGGAAAGCCCTTCCGCTAATGCTAGTGTTGCTAATGCTAGTGTTTCCGTGTTGCCAAAGCTAGCAGTGCGAAAAGACTGTTCCATTTCAGTCGAGGAAGCGACATTATTCAAAAATCTTTTGTGCCTCTTTGTCGCTTAGTAATATCGTTTTTTCCACCATGTGAGACCAAAAATTCAGCATTGCATTTATCACACCGTACCATATAGTCTATTTTGGTTTTTTTAATAAAGTGAAACTCTCTGCTTAGCTCTTCATTAAATTTGCATTCGCTTTTTTTTGCTCATCTTTTATTCTGGGGGTAAATACTAGAAATGAATAAAAAATTTACTACAAAGGCTAAAAAAGAGTATTAACTTTTGCCTTATTGACCGTTACGTTGTGGCGACTATTGCTCTACCACTATCTTCGTCAATCAAATAAGGAGTCAAACCGAACGTCAAATTGAAAACAACAAACTGCACTGTCTGCACTTCTCTGAATTAAGCCGAGACGTAACGACAATGATCGAACACCACCGAGTAAATCTAACTCAGTACATTGCCTAATTTAGTTTACTCTGCATGCATTTAACATGCTTTTTTTAATGTAGTTTTTATTTCTTTATACTCACCATAATACTTAATAAATAATAGGTAATATATTTTTACAGTACATTTAAAATAAGAAATGCAGATATTTTCTAAAAAGCGGGACATTTTTAAAAATCGGCGGGACGCGGGACAGTCCACCAAAAAGCGGGACTGTCCCGCCAAAATCGGGACGTGTGGTCACTTTAT